GGGAAGAGAACAGAGAGCCAAGAAGAACGAGAAGGAGGAAGGAGAAAAGAGAGCCAAATAAAACGAGAAACAGTAATAAGAAGAGAGGCAAGAGGAGCGAGAAGGAAGATGAAGGAGAAAAGAGAGCCAAGAAGAACGCGGAGGAAGGGGAGGTGTCACCCTCGGCCAAGACGTGTGTGGAGAGGAAGAGGAGGTGTAGAGGCACATAATAGAGCATCCGGTGCGCGGACCAGGTGCCTCCCCCAAAACACCCGCCCGAGTAGAAGCAACGCCTCCGCCCTCGTCAGAAGCATCGATCACTGACGAGGCGAGACTCACCCTCCGCCCGCGATCACCTCGTAAGCATCTCCGCGAAGGGCATCAAGAGACCAATCAAGGAGATAATGAAACTTCCTCTTCGTGTTGCGCTGTCTGGCCGCCTCTGTCCCTCTCACGCATTTCCCTGAAGCCAAGACGAGCACATTCCTCGCAGACCTGGTTTGTGTGTAACCCGACCCCCGCTCGCCCCCCTGCACGCCCTTGCACGTGCTCGCCATATACCGCGCTGCTTCCCTCCGCTCCTTTTACCCTGGGGCTCCCGGGGATCCACGGGGGGCCAGGGAGGGAAGGGAAAGGGATCACGTCTTCATCATATCATTTATTAATCAATATTTCCCCTGCGATGAAATCTCTTCTTGTACCAGTCTTGGGTAAACCAGCATCGCTCGAATCGCGAATCAGTCCAAACAGACTCGAAGCACACTTCTCGAACCGAATGAAAACTAAACCGACCATTTCCTACCCGACATCCCTCCAAAACAAAACAAGTAACGAATCAATCAATCAAACAAAACAAACAAAAATAACTCTAACGAACAACATCCTTCACGAAGTTCGGAAATGAACAAGGAAACTCGGAAAGCATCGTTGGGTGGGTAGTGGGGGGGGGGAGATAGAGGAAGACGACGTCGAACCGCAGATTTTGGCGAGTGAAATCGGAAACCGCGCCTCACGTGCCGGTGCGTCTCGCGGGAGGCAGAGGGACCGCGTTGAATGGGACAGGAAGGTGAGGAGGAGGAAGGGGCGGAGTCTGCCCGCTGTAAAGATCGGAATGGCAAAAGGGGGAGTTGGGGTGAAGAAGGGGAGAGGGGAAGAGAGAAAGAGGAAGGAAGAAAGCATTGAAAGAAGGAATGGAAAAATGCAGACGGAGAGAAAATTTGAAAGATACTTCGATGAATGTGATAACAGTAAATTTTGGAGGATAAACACGAACGGCAGAACAAATGTAAAAATAAAAAAAATAACAAAGAGAGAAACTGATTGACGAAGAAGCACATATATATATATATATATATATATATATATATATATATATATATATATATATATATATATTTAAATATGTGTACACACACACACACACACACACACACATATATATATATACTATATAATATATATATATATATATATATATATATATATATATATATATATATATATATATATATATATATACATGTATGCACACACACACACACACACACACACACACACACACACACACACACACACACACACACACACACACATATATATATATATATATATATATATATATACTATATATATATATATATATATATATATATATATATATATTTATATATATATATATATAATATGTATATATATATATGTATGTGTGTGTGCGTGTGTGTGTGTGTGTGTGTGTGTGTGTGTGTGTGTGTGTGTGTGTGTGTGTGTGTGTGTGTGTGTGTGTATGTGTGTGTGTGTGTGTGTGTGTGTGCATATATGTATGTGTGTGTATATATACATATATATATATATATATATATATATATATATATATATATATATATACATATATATATATATATATATATATATATATATATATATATATATATATATATATACTTATCTATATATGTATATATGTCCATATTATATATATGTATATATATTCATATATATACATATATATTTACATACATACATATATATACATACAAGATATACATACATATATATACTCGCACATATACATATTATCTATGTATACACACATACACAAACACTCACATACACATGTGTGTGTGTGTGTGTGTGTGTGTATGTGTGTGTGTGTGTGTGCGTGTGTGTATATGTATACATATATATCATATGTATAAATATGTGCGTGTATATATATATGTATATATATATATATATATATATATATATATATATATATATATATATATATATTTATATACATATATATATATATATATATATATATATATTATATATATATATATATATATATATATATATATATATACATACACACATATACGTATATGTGTACACACACACACACACACACACACACACACGCACACACACACACACACACACAAACACACACACACACACACACACACACACACACACACACACACACACATATATATATATATATATATATATATATATATATATATATATATATATA